AAAAATTTTAAATTATAAATCTTTCAGAATATGATATAGGAAAACACATTTATAATCTCAGGGTCATAAAAGTTTTCTTAAACTGGATACAAATCATATATCATAAAGGAAAGTGCTGACAAAGTTGACAGTATTAAATTAAAACTTCTTTTCATAAAAACACACCATATTAAGAGTGAAAGCTAAAGATGAGATATAACTGACAAAGGATTAGATTCCAGGATACACCCCCCTCCCCAAGAAAACCCATTGAAAAATGAGAGAAATATATAAACTAAGCAATTCATATCGGAAATGTGGATTGTTAATAAACCTAAGAAAAGGTGCTCAATCTCAAAAGTAAGCAGGAAAATATGCCTTTAAGTCATAACAAAATACAATTTCACTCCTCCCAGACTGGACAACATGAAAGTGTCTGATAATACCAAACACAGCTAGGATGTGTCAAGGAAAACTCTTATAAATGATAGTAGGAATGTTAGCTTGTCAGAAAACAATTTAATGTCGAATATATTCTACAACCCAGGAAATCTACTCTTAGGTGCTATGCAAACTAGAAAATCTCTCATATACCTACATAAAGACATATAAACAAACATGTCCATTACAGCATTACTTATAAAAGCAAAAATTGTCATAAGAATGTTAGTCTGATAAATTCATACAATCAACTATCATGCTGCAGTAAAAATTAGTGAACCAGAGTGACACACATCAAGATGAATCATTCTCACAAACATAATGTTTTTTAAAAAATCAAAAGCAAATTGCAAAAGAATGCACACTGCTTTCTATCGTTTATGTGAGGGTTAAATTTCCAGAGCAATACAAAAATATTGTTAGAAGTAAACATGCATGCAATTTATGAATGTACAAATAAATGCAAAATTTAGGAATGAGGTTACCTCTGTGGGGTGAAGGTAGCAGAAATAGAGGAACAGGAGAGAAAGGTTCAATCTTTCCTTCTTAAGGTCCATGGTAGGTGCATAAGTGTTCATTGTAGTTTGTATATCTTAAATATGCAAATTAATATTTAAAAATAAAAATAGTTATCGAAGTGAATTTAACACCACAATAAAGAAGCATTCTCTTTAGCCAGAACAGATTGTTAATCTGAGAGATTAGTTTCACAGTAAAGGTCATCTAACAAATTAATTAGAAGAAGCATCTTAGTGACTCCACTTGTTTTCTGAGCTTCTCTCCAGCTTTTTAAATGTTAACCACAACAAGGCAGCACCCCCTCCCATTATGGTACCCCACTGATACTGATCCTATCCTACCAAGCTCTGCTAACTCTGTGCTCTTCAGACCTGTATCTCCATACATCAAAATTTAACACAGTTTTCTATTTCCCCAAGAACCAATATCTAATTAAGCCAATCTCGCTATGATATTAACAGTTGGTAAAGCTAAGTGTTGTACTTTCTGTAAGTAGTCTTATTTTAATGAGGAAATTCCAAAGACGAAACCCTTTTAGACAAGGTTGACATTTCAGGCCTCCAAAGAGAAATATCAGGAAGATAGTTGGCACCTGCTTGTTTAATATCACCACATGTCTTTTATTTTCAAATAAGGTTGGTTCTGCTTACCCTAGGAACAGATTATCATTTCCAAAATTTTAGTAGTGTGAGTCAAAGGAATTGATAACGATTTATAAAATTTTATAGGCTTAATGAATAGCCATTCATAGGTGTAATCTGAACAGCTAACTGTTAAACCTGCCTTGATCTAATGTTTAAAGGTCCTGCTGTTTTTGGTGTTGGACCTCTGCTTGAACGACAGCCTGAGGATATTTAACATTCGTCTCTCCTCAATCTTCAGTCATCTGCATTTCCAGAGGGTTGATGACAGGGCAACTTGGAGTTTAAAGACAGCATCTTCATTTGCATTTCAATGGTTCCATTGAAATCTCTTCAATATGCCTCATTGTCTAAACAGTGAAGGTGGCTAAATTTTGTTCAAGATTCATAAATCTTAGGGAAAAATTTGGGCCATCATATCCAAAGCTGATTCTACAGAGAACACCCTTCTCCCTTCTTATTTTTTTTTAATGCTTAAATCATGTTTGTTAAAACCCATAGGTACTATGTCACATCTGCACGTATTTAAAATCTTTTATCCATTTGGATATTTATGGCCTGAAATCAAGGTTCTAGGATAAGTTAAAGGGGAAAGGACGATATATGGTTTTGTGGGGACCTGGAATTGGCCACCCCAAGATATGTCTCTTTGGCATCAGGATTATTTGAGGCTGATTGCTTTTGATAAACTGGGACAGGCAAGGAGGCTCTGAGGAATGGAACTTGCCCTTTGTTAGGACACGTTTACATTTGTAAGGTAAATCTCTATCTGTAAAAGTTGCCTCCCTCTCTGTACCAGGAAGAAGAAAGGAGATGACCTTCTCTCTACAAACTCTTAATCAATACCAAAGGCAAGGACATAAAATCTGCATTTTATTGTGCTAGTCTGGTAACCTCCTGTAACTGACTTCCCTCCCCCTCCCAACGTTGGCATTCCTTAAAGATTAAGCATCTTTCTTTAGGCTAGGAACTGATTGCTGAGCTCACCTGTGACCACCCAGCTCCAGACAATCGACTTGCCTCCGGCTACGCCCACCGAGATAGCAGACCACTACCTGCTGTGTCCATCAAGCGCTGTGCTGACGGGGCAATCTTGTGACTAATTGTGGGAGGGACATTTCAATCACATGTGAAACACCCCGTTTGGGGGTATATAACCACTGTCTGCACCCCACTTCTTCAGTGCCCTTTCTTCCTTCGGGAAGAAAGGCCCCGGGCCATGGTTCCTCATAAAGCTTTGTTTAATTTTCTCTTGCTATTCTGTCTCATGTGAATTTAATTCGTTCTGCAGCCAGACGAACCCCCATTTGGGGAGAGGACATGTCCTCCTCCCCTACAGTTTGAAGTACAGTATAGCGCCAGCATCAATTTCTAATCCAGAGTTCCAAAAACTGTCTTTCTTCCCATTGGAAAGGAACAAGTTTCTTTTCACTTATGAAAACAGTTGCACTTAACACCAGGGAGGGAACTTCATTGGCAGGTATGTTGACTCTGCAAGGATCTGCAGTTACTCTTAATTGGTTGTGATTTTAAATAGCAGAATTTTTGCCAAATATTTTGGTACAAGGGAATGAATCTTGGAGTTAAATTAAGAAGTTCTGATTTTAAGTGCAGAGCTACTAGGCACCTTTCTGAGATGAACCTTTGCGCCCTTCCCATAAGTTTAGATAGCATTATCCACCAAATAGTTTCAGGAAGGGATTAAATGGAAGCATATGTGTGAAAGTTCGGTGTAAACCATATCCCAAAGAACTGGAAGTCTATAAAGGATTGCTGCAATTGTGTAACTTTTGTGTTAGCTTATTTTTTCAGATTTTCAACAGGTACCTAAAATTTTTTGAATCACTCCATCCAGCTGAGATGCTGAGATATGGCAAAAATGTTAACAAGGACAAAACTATGGGTGAAAAAGTAGAGCTCCACAGAGGTCAATTCCAACATTTGTCCTTTGCACAATTTCTGTTCATCTCCTTGCCATTCCAGAACCCTTTCTCAGTGCTGTTTTGTAACACATTTTAAAAATGATCTGGCTTTTCAAAATATAGCTCTCACTCTTTTTGTTTCTACATGCAAATGATATGAAATTCTGGGATGTTGTCCTTAAAAGTCAGCCCACCTTCATGGCCCAGATAAACTGGGAAAGGATCCTCATTCTTTGTACTCTGCAGATGAGGTGTCAGTCTCCAAAGCCGCCTCCTAGACAATCCCTAGCACCCAGAAAAGACGGGTTTTGACCTCGAATATGTTAGCATTGCAAATCTAAGAATATAAGCAAGTGCATTTTCTTTTTAGAAAACTGAGCTCACACTCACCCCAGAGTGGCAGTTGAATGCCATGCAGTCTGACCGTATTCGTGAAGGACTAAAGCAAAGCTTCCTTCTCTCTCGTAAGGAGGAAACAAAAAACCTATAGCCTACATTCCATAAAAGAATGATTCCAAGATAATAAATCCATTTTCAAAGAAAGAATTCACCAGATGGCTTCAGAGGATCAAAGCCCTTGTACGTACAGTACTGGCATCATCAATATGTTTCTCAACATACTGCTGCTTATGAGAGTTTAAAGAGAAGTGTGTGAGAATTAAGTGTGTGTGCCATTATGTGAAGGAATATATGAGTGTGTTTGAGTGTGAGAGTCTGTGTTCATGGCAGTCAGAACGGCGGTGAAAACGTGAAGGGTAGTTGGGAAAACCCTTCTCTCTTTGCGCACTCCCCGGGCAGCAACCCTGGCCCCAGAAGGCGAAGGGAAACGTGAGCGCGGGCACAAAGGTCGCTGCCTTGACTGATGCGAGGCGACCGACCCGCCAGCAGAGACTTTCTCCTTGGCAGCCAACAACCTGCAGCAGGAGAGGCGGGCGGGGGAGGAAACCCCGAGGAGGCGCTCCCGGCCGCCTCTTTGCTGAGATAGCAGGAGCAGCCGCCTGCGGAGCCACGCGCGCAGCGTCACCGAGCCGGTGCGGGTGCAGGGGCGCGCGGGGAGGCTCGGAGGCCGGCAGCCGCTCCGCCGCCCAGCCGCCCGCGCCGCAGATCGCCGCCCGCCCGAGGAGCCGGGGCCGCGCGCTGCCGGGCGCCGTGCATCCAGCACCTGCCTCGCCACCGAGAGAGGCGGAAGGGACCCCGCGAGCTCGGCCTGTGGTCCCGCTCTCGAAAGGCAGTCTGAGACGGAGCCGGGAGAGGGCGGGCATTGCAATTCGCCGCCGGACTGGGATTTTTCTTCTCGCAATTTGGGGAACCCGAGTAGAGGTCAGAGGGGCAGGCGAGGATCTCAAAAGGGGGCCGAGCGCTGTGAACGTGTGCATCCCCTCCTATCGCTGGAACATCTCCTTGACATTTTTCACACTTTGAAGCAGCTGCAGCTGGTGTCGTCGGAAAAGGGGGTGGGAAAAAGAGAGGGGGCGGGGAGAGCAGGGAGACACAGCCAAGAGCCACGCGCGGCGCCTCCTCGCCTGCCAATCCTGGCACCTGTGCGCCGAACCACTGCACCGAGGAGGACCCCACTCAGGGCGAACCCCGAGCTTGAAGCCACGGACAGGCAGCCCCTGGGCAGCGGGTTCTCGCCGGCGGGACCTGCAGCCGCCCACTCGGCCACCGCCGTCGCCTGCAGCCGCGGGAGCGCACGGCCCCTCCGAGCCGCCCGCTGCGCCCAGGTCCTCGGGGGTCCTCGCCCAGCAGAGGCGCGGCAGCGGGCAGGGGCTGTTACAGAGTTGGGTGCACCATTCGCCTTTTCCTCTCATCTCTTCTCCGCCCAGGATTTATTGTCTGTGGAGCCTTCTGGGGGTGGGGAGAGAGCTGCGCCTCCACCACCGCCACCGCCGCCGCCGCTGCTGCTGCGGTCGCTAGCGCGGCGCGCAGGGCAGGCGGAGGCCGGGGAGTGGAAGCGCTCCTGCCTCCCCCGCCGGCGCTCCGGACTTCCCCTCGGCCGCTTCCCGCCGGAACCTCTCCAGCGGTCCACCTGAAGGGCACCGGCATCATGGTCTAACGAGGCACCGGCCCGGAATCCCCTCTTTCTCCTCCTCTTTCTCCTTCTACTCCACCCCTCCTCTCTTGCTCCTCGGAGGACCCTCGTGCCCCACTCCACTGCGGACCCCCGAACACTTTAAGGAATAACCCTTGGCAGCTGCACGATTCACTCTCTCCGGAACCTCATGGGCAGTTTCTCCCGCTGGCTATGTGAGTAGGACACTCTTGCTCTGTGGCCAAGGGGGCTGCGGGGGCCTCGCCGCTTGTGGCGGCGTTGACAGTGAGCGCCGGAGGTGTGGGACCCAAGCGGCTGGCTGGGGGCGGGGGTGGGAGGACGCAGCCTTCCGCGCTCGCTGGGAGCTGCTCGCGTGGTGGCCCGCGGAGGCGGCGGGGATGTGGTAGGTTGCGGGGCATTTGGAAATGGGGTGCTAGCTCTATGGGTGCATGGGAGCACCGAGGGGCCTAGGCTGCCGGGAGACCCTAAAGGGTTACATACTGCGAAAAGGAAACGTAAAGAGCGAGAGCTGGGCGCTGGTGCTGGGACCACTGGTGGAGCTGAGGTTGGTCTTATCTCCTCTTTATTTTGGGGATCTCCAGTCAGCTTTTTCTTGGAGGTTTCAAGGATGAAGCGCTCGTTTGATCGTGTCACACACACACAGACATAGACATACACACACGCACACTTGTGGCAGGTCGCGTTTGTCCCTTTATCTTGGAAGGTGTACTGTTACTGTTTGATGTCTATTTGTTTGAAAAATACAATTAGAAGATCTTTATGCCATTGAGGATTGAAGGGAAAGGGTGGGGTTTGGGGAGTGGAGGGGAAGAAGGAATATGACAGACTGGAGGACAGAAAGAAGTGGGGGAGCGATGGAGTCGGGGAGAAAGACGCCTCCCTCGCGCTAAACTAAACAACTCCTGCCCACACATCTCCTTTGTGTTGCACGGCGTAGCTGGAGAACCTGCTCTGTTCCCAGTCCCAGTGTTAGGAACCCTCCAGCATCTTGAGTCCTCCTCAGAGTCATTAAGGATGCAGGACTAGTTTGAAATCTTACTGTGGAAAGAAGGAGGGAAGCACATTCCCATTACGGTGATCATGGCATCCCAGCTCGTGGACAATTAGATTGCCTGCGGAAGGTCTCTAGTCTTACCGTTTGCAGTCAAGAACGGGGGTGAGGGGATGGGGGTTGTACAGAATGCCTTTAAAATAGTGTGACTTCATAATAACGGAGATGGCTGCAAAATTGCTTCATTATACTACTTCTTGGCCATCAGGGCTGAATAAAGGACCCGCCTCCGCCCTCTGCCTCGCTGTCTCCTCCCCACCAACTCACAAAGCCAGCGGGCTGGGCGAGAGGGCGCAGCGCCAGGCGGAGAAGGGAAGGGGTCACTTTCACAACTCCTGGGAATCGGCTTCAGAAAGGAACCATCTGCGACTCCCACGACTCCCACCTTCCTTTCGAAGTTCTCCTTCAAAAGGAATCAGAAAGGGGGTGGGGGCTCTGAGACATAAAGGTCCTCCACCTGCCGTTTTCAATTACTTTCCCAATACCTTTCCACACATGGAATTCACCTGCAGTGGTAACTGGGTCAGCACGTAAATATGTGTACCTGAATACGTTGAAATGTGGCTGATAGATGAAAAGCAATTTGTATGTGAGCATATTTAAACCTGGGCAAAATTTCTAAGCACAATAGAGATTTTATAGCGTGGGCGAGAAGAGTGCATTCCAGCGAAAGCAGGACACGTGATCTCTCCAATGGGAGAGATACAGTATTCGGAACTCGATTTTCTTTGTTCCAGGCTGAGCCTAGGAGATGCTCAGCATCCCGGTTGCTGGAGTCCTTCTCTAAGAGGAAAGATAATCAAGTTGACCAGGCGAGAATAGAAGGTAGGGAAACACAAGTGAAGCACAGGGAAGCACCGGGGAAGAGCTTGAACCTTCTCTGCCGCCCACCTCTCCTCTCTACCGCCCACCTCCCATCTCCCACCCCACCTCCGCCCCGGCTACCCCCCTATTTAAAAATGAGGCATTTAAATTTAAATATTTAAAGTTCCCTATTTAAAGTTGCGGGAGATGTGGCGGAAAAGTTCTCCAGCCCCTGTACACGTGGGTTCTCCAGCGCCTCGGAACCTGCTGCGATTCGCGACAGATTCTGCCACCTCCCCAGTCCAAGTGTCACGCCTCCATCCAGGTGTCGTGGAGCTGACTTCACAGATTCCAAGAGAACCACCACGAGATCTTTTTGCAAAAGACAGTAGAGCAGAGTCAAATCCCTGCCTCTGGGAAACCACTGATTGCACCTGGGAAAGAAGGAAAGGATAGAGGTGCAGGAATGGTTTTGTTGTCCCTTAAAAATAAGTCATAGGACTAAAGTATATTGAGAGTGGTGTTGAGCGACTTTGCGTTTGGACTTCTGGGGAGCTGTCTCAGGCCTGTGGAATGACCTCAGGTGGGATTATTTATTAATTTAATGAAGATACAACTTGTTCCTGACGCACCATTTAGTTAGAGTTACCTGATTTGGATATTATTTCGTTTTTCACTTCATGTTTTATAAGCCATCTTAATGGGCTGAAGTTTTTAAAATGTGAGCTATTTCTGTCCTATGCTGCATTGCATCATACTAATATGTCGTGGTATGGGGAAGCAGAGCCAATTTCCATGACATACTGTGAAGTGAGAGTTTTCTATACATTTTTTTTAAAATACTTGACGGTCCAAGAAAAGATGTGTACTTACCATGGCAACCCTAACATTCTCCATCACGTGTGCCTGCACATATGCAGCTTCAGAATTAGAAACAACTTAAAGAAATAAACCTGTTCCAGTTACAGTAGCCATGTTTTATTCAGAATTTTAGCACTGCTTTAGGCTGGCATTAAAATTTTAATTAAAATCTCATTCCACTTTCTTTTGTAAGCTTTTAATTTTTCTACTTCCTCTATAAAATACAGAACATAGATTGAAGTGTTTTTGTGTGTCTGTGTATTTGTTTGCTTTGGATTTTAAAAGAGATGTAAGTTAATATCATTACGAATTTTTGTCGCTCATGAAAGTCATTAAATAACTATATTATTCATATCTGTTAATTCCTAGGGGTATTTCTTAGATGTCTCTTATTTACAGTTCATAGAGCATGGTAATATTGGATATAAAAACCTGGTCTCTTTAATCATGGCTTAAAATGTCCACTTTTTCCAACAGTAGAAAATTTGAAGATAAATTATGTTTTAACTGATGCATCAAAATTTTACCTATTTATACTACAATTTTATCTTCTGATGACTGTGGCCTCAATATAAGGATGGATCGCACATTCCCTGATATTAAAACTTCATTCCATACCCAAATTAACAGAGTACTCCAAGAGTAACCAACTATTAATAAATTACCATCTGAGTTATTTATAGATTCTTATTACATTTTCTCCCTTCAATTACCTTATTTCATAATTTTTGGAAAATTCTTCATTTAGAAAATATATGCTAGTCGTTGAGTAAAACACTTAGAACAACTGCACCACCAATAAAAGATATTGTTTGGAGTATTTTGTTCTCTCCAGTAACAATGACTGCTTGTTGAGTATCATCCACATTCCCCTTTGGATGAGTCTAGTCAGCCATGTGAATTTGCAAGATGACTTTGAGGGAACTGTTAATTTAAATCTGTAACACAGAACAGACCTTTAGTTTGTACCAAGCCAACTGACCATTGAGTAATTCGCATCTCCAAGGACACCTTGGAGATGATTCTAGGATCTTCTGAGAATCCTGAAGTTTACTTTGAATCTCTTTAGTCTAGAGGCCACATCAGTATTCAATGGAGAGTTTTTAATGCCTCAGGATTAAAAAATGGAGTTTTAATATTAAAATGGCTATTCAACCATAACGCAGCAACTAAATTCTATTCTGAGGAGGCACAAAAGTAGAAAGGAGCCACCTAGGTGGCAGGTTTTACATATGTATTCAAATATCGAATCATGAATTGTCAATCAAACTCAGAATTAAAAGTGGCACTGTCAATCAACAATGTTTGGAAGATGGTGGCCCAAATCAATAATATTTTTCCTTTATGAAATTTTTAGCGATGTTTTGTAAATCCAGGTTCTAGTCCTTGGAAATATTCATGTTTTTATAGAAAATATTCTAGTGAATTATCCTGAGGTAGTGAAAGATCAATAAGAAAACCTTAGATACTTCAAGAATTAACATATGATCTTAGGCAATATAAACCAGCCTCTTTTAATGCTGTAAAATTGAGGTTGTATTAATTGCTAATTTATAACTCTAGTACCTAGCAAATATAAGACAAAGTGGTTTATGAAAATTGGCTTGGATATTTTAGAGTGCCACATAAACTTTTTGGTACAAATCAGTTTTTCTGTAGCGATGTGTGTGCGTGTGTGTGCGTTGTTGTGTGTAGTAATTGCATAGTATATTTTTAAGGTATGCCATTTAAATACGTAATTACATACTTCTATTTCCTATCTTGGAATTAAGTGAGTATGCTCAGAAATCCACGAGCTTTTGTGATCAGGGACCATCCCTGGTCATCTTGCTTCCCTTAGCATGTAGTGCATGAACTGTAATCATAGTTCTAACAACAGCTACCAAGGAGCAAACACGTGCCGTGACTCAAGTGCTTTACTTCAAAATAATCCTGTGAGAAGCGTTATTCTCCCCATTTGAAAGATTGGAAAATTGAGGTTCAAAGACAGAAATGACAAGTCCATGTCACATAGCTAGAAAGTGAGGAAGATTTAAACCAAGACTTGGCTCCTCTACCTTTTGCTCCACGCATGCTCTCTCCTTGTAGGCATAAATTGATGCTTGTTCAATGACTGAAATCTGTACATCCTCGCATTATTTCCTAATGAATAAAGAAAACTCATATTTTAAACCAGCTTTTCAATGTGATCTACATATTTGGCGATAATGCACTGTGTTACTTTTGTGACTGTCATTTAATATTGGTACAGAGATACTGCTCCTTATCTTCCTGGCATAATTAACTCATGACAGAAACATTTAATAAGCTACTAGAATCTATCATATAAAAGTACATTAAGGAAGTTTTCAATAAGGCAAGCTTTGAGTCCATAGTTGTCATGTGTACTTCAAAAATATGATGATATATTTGATCTATAAGTCCCTGGAGAGGGATCATATATACTATTTAAATTATTAACTATAATAGAAAATGTAT